CGGGGCTGGGGATTTAGCTCAGCGGCAAAAGCGCCTGCCTGGCAAGCGCAAGGTCGTGAGTTCGGTTCCCGGTACCGGAGAAAAACCAAAAAAAAATAAATAAATAAAATAAAACTCAGGCTGTCCTTAAACTCACTATGTAGTTGAGGGTGGCCTTGACCTCACAGTGACCCTCCTGTCTCAGCCTCCCACGTGCTGGGATTATAGGTGTGCTCCAAACTGGTGATTTCAGAAGCTAGTTCTGAGTGTTCCTTACTAAGCATCTTCAGTAATTAAAATATACACAGTCCTTGAGGGCAAAGACTATAGTGTTGATTTTTTGTGGTTTCATAAAGATATGACCACAAACTTGGTGGGCTAAAATGAAACATGTTTATCATCTCTGTGGGCCAGGAGTCTGGTATAGGTTGTCTGGATCCTCTGCACGGCTGCGGTCCCGGTGTCATTCAGGGCTCGCTCATCTTGGCTCACCAGGAGGGATCTGGTTCTGTGGTAATTTGGTTGTTGACAGCATTAGGTTCCTTGCAGATCAGTGGACTGAAGGTCTCCGTTTTTCTGTCTTTCAGCAGGAGGCTGCCCTTAGTTCCCTGCCACATAGCCCTCTCATAGCGTGTCAGCTTGCTTCTTCAAAGCCAGGACAGAGTGTCTCTCAGTAAGACAGATTTTAAAATATTAGATCACGTCGCCGTGCAGGTACTCACGTTAAAAGCAAGCCACAGGTCCCACTCAGACTCCGTGGGAGCATTGTGTAAGGTGTGAATACGAGGAGGCAGGAATCGGGGCGGCTGTAGAGTCTGCGTGCCTTCGCTTTGTGTCTTAACTCATTGAGCAGTGCATGATGTGAGCATGGTAAGTTCTGATATTTAAATGAATGGGTGTAGTGTGACTATTGTATGCTTCTAACTCCTAGCCGTAAGCCTTTTTCTTTTCTTTCAGAGTCACTGATTTGCCCTTGAGACAACTGTGCTCTCATCTGTACTCATGGATGAACTTCAGGATGTTCAGCTCACAGAGATCAAACCACTTCTAAATGATAAGGTAAAGACTGCTCTTTTTACTGAGATGCATGTAAGTCTTTTCTTCTGCTATAGTTCATTTTCTATATAAACTGAATAGTAACTAACCCAAAACATTTAGCTTGATTATCAGTGGAAGGAATACTTTTAAAAGCACATTTCTTGCTGAGCGTGGTGGTGCATGCCTGTAATCCTAGCACTCGGGAGGCTGAGGCAGGAGGAGACCAGCCTGGGCTACAAAATGAGCTCAAGGCCAGCCTGAACTGCACAGCGAGACCTGTCTCAGCGCCCCCGCCCCACCAAAAAAATCCATTTCTTAACCCATCCCTCTTTTTTGTTTGTTTGTTCCCTTTTGGTTCCATAGGTCAAATTTAGTCAAGTTATCTTTGAGACTTACCTATTTTGCTGATAGATAAGTTAAAGAAGAAAATAACATGGCAAAGTTAAGTAGAAAGTGTGATGGTGGCCTTTGCCTTAGAATGTAGGTGCCTTTCAGTTTCCATAAGGAAAATTTCACATGCAAGACTAGTGATGCACAGAGGCTGAAACTCCCTGAAGTTCTTAGATTTTGTGATCCCATTTCTCTCCACATCACATTTTTCATCAGGATGTCGGGATCTCAGCGATATATTTCATTTTTATGTTAGTATTAGAGAATTCCAAGAAGAGTAGCAGTAGTTGACAGCCCCCAGGACTCGGCACGTAGAATGGTGTGACACGAGGTATCAGTAAGTTAGACAAGCTGATCTCTTGTCCTTCTCTGCTCAGTAAATGTGTTGGGAATTCCTGCTTTCACCCCATTCTTTTGGCTTTATCATTTCCCCCTATTAAACTATTGTAGCTTGTTGCGAATGAGTACACAGCATTCAGGAAAACATTGATGGATAAGATGGTCGGGGGCTGGAGGCACCAGAAGAGTGCTGCATATTATCTTTTTCTGCTCAAACAGGCTTTTCACAACTTCTAGGACTGCTGACTTACATGTATTTACTAATTTGTTGTTGAATCTTGCCAGCCCAATTTTTACCGCTGTTAGCTCGTCATCGCTGTTCCTACCTTTTCCTGTATCTTTCAGCAAACTTCCTGCTCCTTTGGCAAGCCGCACACTTTTTATTGTGTGATTTTTCTTATGTTTCCAGAAAACTTCCTCTTTGAGGTATCATCTTTTTGTGTAGGTGAAGGGCTGTTCCCAAAACAGTGTGCCGTGAGGAGGAGGAACGACGTAAAATCTGCATCTGGAAACCTGGTGTGTAGCTACAGGGATGAGTATTTACAAGGCAGGTAATTTCCAGTGAGAAGTCAAAGTTGAGAACCAGAGACCACGGAGGCTGTGTGTGTCTCCGCCCTGCCCCCTTACATTCTGATTTAGTTTATCTGGAGTGGGACCCAGGAGTCTGTATTTTTAAACAGTTCCTCAGCTGATTCTGATCAGGCTTAGGGTAGATTACTACCTTCCTGAAGCTAAACTGCCTAGTCTCACCTGCCTTGTAAATTAACTGATGCCTAACTAAATTAGTCTGGGGTGTGGTTGAGCCTTTTTTTTAACCCAGTACTAGAGATTGAACTCAGGGTCCAAGTGCTCCACCACTGACCTAAACCCCCAGCCCTTTTTTTTTTTGAGACAAGGTCTTGCTAAGTATTCTCAGGCTCACCTTGAACAATTTATCCTCCTGCCTCAGCCTCCTAAGTATCTCCAGTTATAGGCGTGCCACCATGCCTATATTGGTTGAGCTTTTAAAAAAGAAAAAACTCTCTAGAGTGAGAAGTGGATCTAAAGTGATTCCGATTAGCCAGTATTGGAAATGCATAACCTGGTAGATTTCAGATATTTGAGGAGTGGGGCATAAATAAGGGAACAGTCCTTCTCTGACCCTGGACGTCCACAGAATGCCCGAGGAGGTACCTAAATGAAAGAGTTGGAAGAGTTAGTTGCCTAGAAGAACCAAATTAATGTTTGAGCCTCCTCTCTGAGATGCTTGGACTGTGTCTTGTGTGTACCTGAATATTATGGATTAAGTTGCGCCCTCCCCATTTATGTGTCAAAGCCCTCTCCCCTACAGTGAGACTTGGTGGAGATAGGGCCTTTGTAGAAGTGATAAAGTTAAATAAGTTCATAAAGGCGGAGCCTAATGTGGCAGCCTTGGTGGCCTCTCCCTACTGCCATTGGAGAACCCAGTGGGAAGGGAGCTGTTTGCAAGCCAGGAAGAGCACTATCAAACCCTGCTAGAATCTTGATGTTGAACTTTCCAGCTTTCGGGATGATGGGAAGATACATTTCTGTGTTTCTAAGGCCCTCCGGGGTTTCACATTTTGTTACTGCAGCTCAGTTAGACGGATACCAAGCCATGTCTCATTTCCTGTCAGCTCCTTTCTGATAGCTGTGCTGGACCACCAACGTCGCACACTGCGTCTTGCTCCTCTGTCTCCCTGAGGCATGCTCCTTTTCCAGAACTTCTGGGCTCCAGTTAAACGAGTAGACAGGATGGTGGAATTCCCACACAAAGAATCACACGTCATTAGCCCTCCGCCCTCCTCAGTTTGTGAATGCTACTGTCATTGCCAAGCTTTGCGTTTGTTGTAACATGTATAATAAGGAAAATGGCTCTCATCTGTTATTTCATTTGATTCTACCTACAGCTTAATGAGGTAGGGGGCAAAGGTAAATTTATGTTGTATTGCTGATGAGTAAACTAAGAAAGGGAAGTAGCTTTCTCAGATTGAATATCAAAGAGTGCTTGCTGTATGGTAGGATTTCTTAGTCTGTTGATGTTTGATGTTCTAGGTCACATTTTTTTTTTTTTTCTTTTGAGATATGTAACCCAGACTGGCCTTGAACTTGTAGTGATCCTCCTGCCTCAGCCTCCCGAGTGCTGGGATTACAAATATGTGCCACCATCATTTTTATGGAACACTGTTCCCATGCACTGTAGGGTGTTTTATAGCATCCTGGGCTTTCTACCCACTAGGTACCAGTAGCACCCCCAGTGGTGGCTACTAATACGTCTCCAGATGTTGTGAACTGTCCCCTGGGAGGGCAAGGCTGCCATGGAGGGGAACCATTGACAGAAAAGCCTCCAGATTTAAATAGGAGTAGACACCGAAGTGTTTGGTGGTGATTTTTGTTTTCTTTCTTTTTATGCCTGTTCAGCTACTATCATTTATTACCTTTTATGTGCCATACGTCTTACATACGTTCTTTCTTAATTCTCAGAGTATCCCTTTAAAGTAGATAGTATCTGTCTTCACTTGGCAGGTGAAAAACCTTACTGAAAGGCCGACTGCCCCTGTCAATAAGAGGCAGAGGTGGGACTGAAACCCAAACATTTTCTGCTCCTAAAACCTGAGACTTTCCCACGGTGCTGCCCCTGGCAATGCTTTGGCATCACTTCTCTGGCGTGGCTTGTCTCTTTAAGGAGGAGCCTGGAGATGATTATTTCTTCCCACCTTTCTGTCCATTATCCCCATAAATACATTCTTAGCCAGAGACACTGCTGTACCCTTGCAGCCTTTGCAGATCTACAGATCTAGAGCCAAATTATTGCAGAGAAATTTGTCCTGAGATGACTAAGGAAGCATTCTTAATATAGCTTTAAGTGAGATCTATGTTAACTTGTCTCTTGTCATTTGTTGGTATTTTTCCCATTTTATTTTAGTATGCCTATAATTTTGTCTACAGCTCAGAATTGTCAAGAAGTGGGTGATTTTGCCTTCTTATTTTGGCTCCAATGATGAAAAGAAGCCACCAGCAGTATTTGTTTGGAGGCAGAAATTGCACAGATGTATAAATGAATTGTTTAAAATAACATTGAACCATTTTTGAAGTAGGTTTAACCATTCTTGGAGGTCTCTAACCTCTTAAAGTACTGAAAGCATTTTTAAGATGAGGCTCCATTTTACCATGAGGCTCACAAAGGTTATATCCAGAGCTAGAGTCTAATAGGTGGTAAAGCCAGGACTAGAACTGACATCTTTTTTTTGTCTTTTTGAGACAGGGTCTCGCTATGCAGTTCAGGCTGGCCTTGAGCTCACTCTGTAGCCCAGGCTGGTTTTGAACTCCCAACAGTCCTCCTGCCTCAGCCTCCCGAGCTCTGAGTTTTCAGGCATGCACCATCACACCCAGCTAGAACCTACATCTTTAGACTTTGTTCTCTTTCAGGGGGTTCAGGGGACTTTGTTCTTTTTCCTAGGGGTGCTCCCTCCATCTGTTATCTCTTACTGTTGGTTGTTCCAGCCTCCTCACTCACCAGATTGAGGAGCAAGAGAGCTGACCGTGCCTCAGTCTTTTCCCTCCCTTACTCTATCACTATTTAGGTCCAACCAAATCTGATGAAAGCCAAAGCCAGGTGTGAAGAAACAAGTAGGCCACAGGGGCTGCTGAAACAATGAAGGAAAAGCAGGAAGGGGAATAAATACCTAGTGGGGAGATTGGAAACAAGTTACTTTGTTTTGGTTGTTATAGTAAAAAGTGAGGGACACCCTCGAGCGATGGAAGGCTCCCCTGACTGCTAATGACTGGACGTGACAGCAGGGGAAGGGAAGAGGAGCTTAGCATTGTGTGAGGGAGAACCTGGGATCAACCTCTCTAGTAATCTGCAGGACAGCAGAGACAGAAGGGTTTGTGCCAAGGTCACTTAAAAAAAAAAACACGAAGAGGCTAAAGAGCTGAGCTCCGGGGTAGAACACCTGCCTGAGGGCTTGCAGGAGGCCCTGCGTTCAGTCCCCAGAACCACAGCACCAAAGCAGTATTTGTAATTAAAAACAGATGTATTGACATTTTCATCAGAGAATATTTGTGAAATTTTATGTATGGTGTGCACTGTAATAGGGTGAGTTTCCTTCAGTGTGCTGAGAGGTGAATGTCATGTCTGTTGTCAGAATGACCTAAATGGGATTGAGGCGGGAAGTGTGTTACCAAGCACTTAGGGTTTTAGTCTATGTACTGCCAGAGCGAGTACGGCCAAGCAGATAGGGCTACCGCGGTGACAGACCAGATGACTCTTACCCTGTCACAGAAGCAAGAGG